TGAGAGGAGGGTAGATATAGATGTGACAAAAGCATTTTTGGCTTTAATAGTTTCGAGGTTTGAAACCAAACCTCTCCTCAGGAGGATAGATGGGGCAGTTCGGGTGAGATCCAATGTAGATCCAACTTTCGATTTACTAGTGGGATCTGGTTTTATAGCTAGAATGGTTATGGAAGAAGTGATAATAGTGGGAAATTAATATATAGTAGGAAATAATAGAGATGCAAAAGGTTTTGTAGAGGAAAACTTAGACCGGGCTTTTGGTTCTTATGACAGGTAAAACACTTATCCTGATGCCACAGTTACAAATGAGATAAGAAGTGCCTCTAACTTCCTTTATTATTCTTAATACAAGTGTTCAGGGAGAAAAAAAAAAGAAGATGATATTTCTCTTTGATAAGAGATGGATGAAGAAGAAAGTGGTTGAAAAGGTGGTGCAGAAAGTTTGGATTTCTATTCAGTTGGGCACTCATTTGTTAAGGCTAAAGAAGAAAGTTAAACAAGCAAGAAGGGCCTTGCTGTTGTGAACCAGTCTAAGATAGAAGGTCTAACTTAGAAGTTGAAAGAGATAAGGGCAGCTGGTTGATGGGACAATTGAGAAGCTTGGGAGAGTGTAAGACAGGAACTTGAGGAGGCTCACTGTTCAAAGGAGTTGTTCTGGTATAAAAAGGTCAGAGTGCAATTGCTAATGGAGGTAGATGGCAACACAAAATTCTTTCATGCATACATTATGCAAAAGAAAAGGCAGAATACTACTTCAAGATTGCTCAACAATGTGTGCCAAACTCATAGGGAGATTGAAGATCACATTTCTTCTTTCTATAGTTCATTGTTTTCTTCTGAGGGCTCTTGGGAAGAAGAGGCTCTGCTGCAACTGATTCCTCAATCCATCTCAGCTGACATGAACCAGGATTTTCTAAAACCAATTGAAGAAGAAGAGATAAAAGCTGCATCTCAGTCTTCATCCTGATAAATCCCTTGGAGAACATGGTACGAATGCTTTGTTTTAACACTTTTGGCCTCTAATCAAGTTTGACTTAATTGATGATGTCAAGAGTTTCTTTGAGTCTGGTTTTGTTCTTTATTACAAGAATCATACTTTTGTAACTCTGATTCCAAAATGTAATAATCCTAAGTCTGTAAGTCAGTATAGGCCAATCAGTTTGTGTTGTGTGGTGTATTAAATCCTATATAAAATCTTAGCTCTGAGGCTGAAACTTTGTTTGAAGTCCTATATAAATGATTGTCAGTCAACATTCATTCAAGGGAAACAACTCCTAGACAACAACACATGAAGCCTTTCATTATCTGAACAGACATAGATCAAGGAAACATTGTTTTATGGATGTGAAATTGAACATGATGAAGGCATGATAGGGTTGAATGGCTGAGTTTCGAGAAGATTATGCTTCAAATGGGTTTTAACCAGGATTTTGTGAAGTTGATTATGGTTTGTATATCTTGTGGTTCTTACTCTTTTAATGTGAACTGGAAGGTGTCTGGCTTTGTATCCCTTTCTAGAGGCCTTAGACAGGAAGATCCTCTATCCCCCTATATCTTTATCGTTGTTGTTTAGCTATTACCTATGTTGGTTAACTATTCTACTGAAAGGGGTCAATTGATTGGGCTGAAACTCACTAAAGATGGTTTTCATCTACCCTACTTACTCTTTACAGTTGATTCTCTATTTTTCTGTGAGGCAAGTGTTGACCAAGCTTTGACACTAATGAATCTGTTGGAAAAGTACAGATTCATGTTTGTCCCATTTTTGTTGTCTTTTTCGTTGCTATTTTTCATTTATTTTTCCCCCGTTTTAGGTCTTTTCGTTGGTTTTTATTCGTCTTTATAGTTTATTGTGCGTTTTGTTCTATTTTGGTTTTCTTTGTGTTTCTCGTGTATTTTTCCAGTTTTTCTTCTTCTTTGGTGTGCAGGTTGGAAGTTTTGGGAGGATTTATTTTCCATGATAAATGAACAAGGTGAACATAATTAAATAGAGCATTTTGCTGGCAACACACAGAAAAAAACGGAATCAAATTCCGACACCAGACGAGCTCGAACGAACCCGAGTCGTAAAGTCGTGCAATGAAGCAAGCGGTCCGAGACCTCCGCACATGGCACCCTTCACGGGCCAACAAAGGCTACGAGCCTTTCCCAGCGCCACGCCGTGAAGCCTCCGCACCGTGACACCTTCTCAGACGCGTCGCGGCACCACCAGAGTTCCACGCCGTGCTGCAACGTGCGGCACCCGTCACGACCTTACAGAGTACACGCCACAACACAGCTCCACGCCGCGGCGAAGCCTTCGTACCGCGACACTGACCCTTCTCACACTGTAGGCCCCAAGCACGCCGCATCACATGCACGCCTTATGTCGCGCTGCAAACCCTTCGACGCCGTGGCCTTCTGCTTCTATAAATACGCGATCGAGACTTCGACAGAAACATCTTTCTCCTCAGAACAGAAAACCTACACCCCATATTCTCTTTTACTCATTTTTTGTTACTTCTTACATTTTATTTCATCTAGAACACAAGATTGAACTTGGATTTCAATACTGCTTTTGGATTCAAGCTTGTTTATCGGATTCAACTTTGGGATTTTATCAATCGTAAGATTTTCTCTTAACTTAATCGTTAAATATGAAATCTTGGGTTGAGATGAATGCTTGTGTTGATTCGATTATGATTGGACAAATCCTATTGCTAGAGTATATGGGATTAATATTTTGGATTCGTTTGTGATTGTGGTGTTTGTTGATCGTTCTTTTATGCGAATTGATCTTTTAAAATGGATTTTCAATTATCGTACTTGAGTATTGAGGATTGTTGAAGCGTGACGCTTCAATTTCCAATTGATTTTCAATTGAGTTCGATTTATTCTTGTATAAAGTTGGCTGTTCTAATTGATTAGTCAGTTAACCACCCTCTAGTCTATCTTCATCGACTCTTAGAACCGAAAGAGGAGGAGTCGGTCGAAATAGACTCGTATAAACTAGGCTTGTTCGTAACTGTATTGCCTAGGTGTTAAATGAATCATTAATTTGTCGTTCACGTCTGTCCTCTTGTTAAGAAAAGTTATTAAGGACGAATCTCTTAACAATAGGTTAGTCGAATCATTTAGTCGACCGACCACTTGCCCGATAATTGCAATTTGAATCAACATGGATATCCTCGATTCCCTAGCTTCGTTAATCTTGCTTGTTCATCGCCTTGCCTTAATATTTATATTTGTTTTATTAGAATGTTCTTAGTTAATGATCAAAAACCATTCTTCTGGATTAGAATGTTTAGAAATTTGATTTCTCATTTTTTGTGTTGAATAAACGTGCATAATAATCCGGCTAACCTTCCTCGTGAGATGACTCCGGAAACGAATCCTCCAATTCGGTACTCGGTAAATGAAACAATTTGTATACAACAGTTCACAGGTTAAAGAGTTAATCTGTAAAAATCAGCCATCTCCTTTAGTAAGAATACTCTAGAGATCCTTCAAATCAGTATCTATGAGACTATTCAAGGCATCAAGATTCGTAAGTCCTCAAAGGTATATGGGTCTTCCTCTTGATATTGGCAGGTCTAAGAAGGAAGCATTTGAGTATGTTTTGGAAGCAGTCAGGGCCAAACTGTATATATGCTAAATAAATTGCTACGCGTGAATTTGAATACACAATAAACAAAAATGTGAATGTGTTTCATATGATTTTTAACTATGCGTCTGATTTGAATAAAGTCAGTATATGTACGACAAAACTTCGCATAACTGTTAATTATGCGGTTAATTTAGATATGAAATTTTATATCACATATAGTTTCGTGAATATTGAGGTGAAAAAGAAGTTTTTTAATGGGTCAGTGTTTAAAAGAAAGTGCATGTGTATATTGGAGTGTGAAAGAAATTCGTTCATGATTTATACAACAAACGAACATAAAAATATAAAAAATAGAGTAAATTTCAAAATTAGTTCTACAAGTATGATGTAACCCGTGTAATAACTGTCGTCAGCGCTGCGCAACGTAGCTTTCCAGCTAGAGATCATAAATTCGACAAAAAAGATTATATTTTTAATTAGTTTTTAAAAATTATTAGACTATTTTGATTTTATTTATTTGAGATCGGATAAAAAATTACCTCCTAATATATAACATAACACTATCCACCTCTGCCTAGGGTTTTCAGTTTGGCAGGTCTCGGGAGATCAAATCCAGCTCCTCCTACGCATTTAGTTCCGCCGTCGGCCATGGTTAACCTCTATCTTCTGATGTGCCATTTTTTTTTTGTTCTTTATTTGTGCTATCTTCTTCATATGCCATTTTCGTTTCTGTGTGTATATTGGTGTAATTCATTCTTATAATCGCCTTTGTAGTTGGGTTTTAGGTTTGGGGCCGCTAAGACTTCGATTTAGATAAAATAAGGGTGTGGTGTGGGTTGTGTGTGCCATTCTGTACTTTGATTGCTTCAGCACTTGCTAACATGTTTCATTAATGTCAAGCGATCTGGGGTTAGTTCACAGTGAAGGGAAATGACCCATATAAGAGCATTGTTGTTTATCGAGTTTCTACGCTATTTTAATTCTTTATCGAGCATATGGCTTGTTCTGGTATTCTATTCGTTATCCGTTTCTCGGTTATCATTGATGTCTTTACCGACGGAGGTGTGTCGACAAAGCCTGTTTCTTGATCACTTTTAATGTACTTTGAGGCTGCTCACTTTGATGATATTTTCTGATTGTGCTCCTACTTATTCGTGCATTATTTGGTTATGTTTTCATTTTTTGCAAAATGGTCTTCTTAGTTTTGATTGCTATAGATTTTTATCGGTCCAAAACACATCTGGAGAACCCCTGCAATTTGGTGGCTATTTGTTAGTGATAACCGGGCTTTATTTATTTACACTTGTTTGTCTGGATTGAACTTTGTGATATGGCTATGGGATTTTGTTCACTCGGTTTTGCTTTAGTTTTTTGTTCATAACCTTGTGTTTGCAGGTGAACGTGCCCAAGACAAAGAAGACCTTCTGCAAATCAAAGCAGTGCAAGAAGCACACTTTGCATAAGGTCACCCAGTACAAGAAGGGCAAAGACAGCTTGGCTGCTCAGGGTAAGCGTCGTTATGACCGCAAGCAGTCGGGTTATGGAGGTCAGACAAAGCCTGTTTTCCACAAGAAGGTGACAGTTTAATTTCCTTGTGAATGGTCAGATGACTGATGTAGTCGAATATTAGAAGAAGGCTGTTTGAATGAATATAGGTCTTGTGGAATTTTTTGGATTTGTTGTTATATTAATTTATCATGTTTTCTGTGTAGGCAAAAACGACTAAAAAGATCGTGCTGAGGCTGCAATGCCAAGGTTGCAAGCATGTTTCACAACATCCTATCAAGGTTTGTTGTTTTGGGGTTTTCTTGTTTTACTTTTTGGTCACGATTGGCGTCTTTTGCATCGATGTTTTTGCTGATGGATTTAATTCTGCTGGCATGATTTTGCAGAGGTGCAAGCATTTTGAGATTGGTGGAGATAAGAAGGGCAAGGGAACTTCTCTGTTCTGAGCATGCTCTTTACGGGTTTGTCGTTGTTGCTGGCATTGCACTTGGTGACTGTCGTTTGTTGTTCTTGCTATAAATTAGACGTAATATTGTATTTCAATTAGCAAACTCAATTTCATTTTCTTGACCCTGGATTAAGTATTTGAATGTTTTTGCCTCTTAAAATGTTATGCCTTGTTAGTGTATGCGACATTGTAATGTCATGCTACGTCGTCAATTTTTGTTATGCTAATTTATGACCTGAAGTGACTTAAACTCTTACAATAACAAACTAATTTGTGTGTTTTATAATACAAAGAACAAGTTATGTTCATACCACTCTGAAGATGGGTCAAGTTTTACACAATGCTATGGATTGAACTAAAAATTGCCGAAAAGGTAACGATTAAACTAAAACTGATTAACGGTCAAGACTTAAAGTACTATACATGGAGTACTATGTGAAAAAAAGGTATAATTGGAGTAGTTTTACCTTAATTAGGGACCGATACTTGTATACTTTTCTGGTGTTTATTATGCTATTTCCACAAGTGTTGATTTTCATTGTGCATTCGTATAGGAGAAAGCTAACATTTTGAATCCATACTATGTTGAATAAATGGTTCTACAAGCAGTACATTAACCTTAAAACTTCAATTTCAAGTTCCCCCCAATAGCGAGGCAAATAGTGTTCCAGTGTATAAAAGAACTACTAAAAGTTTGGCTAAACGAAAGCTAAATGATTATGGCACTTCAGCTATCTCTGGAGATACGGTTGGATTTTATGCAGATTTGTTCCTCCCAACAGCCTTCGTAGGGAAGAGATCGATGAACTGTTAGCGCCATCATAGAAAACAACAGTTTGAAGATTTTCAGAAATAAATTGCCTTATAGACTTGACTGCATCAAAGTAAGCCCCTTTAAAAGTGCCTTCTGGTCCATCAATAACCTGTAATCATGAAAAATAAACAGAATAACTAAGGATGTCAACCACTTGGGGAAACCCCATTTTAGGCAAAACACACACACACACACACACACACACACATGAAATAACCATGACAAAAATATAAGAACCATGACATTGTTATAGAAACAAGTGCATCGCACGATGTTCAACATTTAAACATTTCCGAAGAGAGTACTCATAGTATAGCAATACGAATTCTTTTGATTCAGCTACTAACGGCCTTTACGAATTCTTTATCCAATTATTTAGTATACCGGCTACTAAAACAATATATATATACATCACATGATGACTGGACAAGTATCAAAACAGGAAAAAACTAATTCGAAATTACCAGCAAGGAAACTCCAGATATATCAATAGCCCTCAAGGAGAGAAGCTCCAAAAGTCTCTCAGGGGTGGAGACAACAAACTCTGGTTCACAAGACTTCAGACTGTCAAATGTAACATGCCCAAATAAGTTAAGAAATACGCCAAAGCCCAAACAGGACATACTAACAACTTCAAATGGCTCAGAGGTAATTAAATTATCTTCTCCACAATGATTGAAACTTCAAAGTTTTGATACAAGGCCCTTGACTACTTGAGTAAATTTATACACACAAAAACAATCGGAGGCCATGAACAAGGATTTGCGGTAACCACAATAGCAAGAACAGAACTAATGAAGCAGAAACAGAAAGTCTCGATAGGCCCGTTATTATAGATATTTCATAAAAGAAACTATTGAACGCTTACCCATTAATTTGATGATCTATGGTAGCACCAGAATGCAAGCTCACTGTATGAATTCCATGTGCTTTAAGCAGCTTGCATATTTGGCGAACCTATTAGTCATGTGGCACAACATAAATAAATCATCCAGACAGATAACATCTAATCAAAACATCTTTTTTAAGGCAACTCACACCTCAGTGCAGATAAAATTCAGATATCATGGTACTCAAAGGATTCTCAAAACGAAAAGTCTTCCGTCAATTCGGGGAAAGATTACAGCAGTTAAAACTGTTTAACATATTATAATTATAGATGCAAGACCTATAAAGGATGAGATTATATTCCCCCCAAAAATTATGATCCAATACATTACCCAAGACCAAAATATGAGACAGGGGCACAACAACAACTGAGTATCACTCCAAACAAACAATACCATTACGTAAAGAAGAAATAACTTAGCTAACTGATACAGACCTCGGCAGCTTTTTCTTGAGATGGCACCAAATACAAAAGAAACGGGCCAGTAAATGATGCACCCTCTTTCTCCTTCACTGAAATCGTATCAGCAGCGGTTGATGCTAACCAAGCAATTTGCTCGAGATTAGAACCAGCTCCATTGGTCTCCAATACATCTTTCCCAGCACAATAACAGTTCCAGAACTCAATTCCCCAAGCACTGGCAAAAAGTGGTTGGTCCCTTTCACCCTTCTCCAAGGCATTTTGTATCGTGTTCAAGCACATAATCAAAAATTTCGACGGGCTCTTTGTATCTCTAACAGAATCAACTGCTTTCCAAGTATTCTTGGATTTATCCCAACTGATAATCTTGCATGTCGGTTGCCCTACGTTAATTGCAATCTTTTGCCCCATAATAGCACTAGACAAAACCAATGATGGGTTTCCATTTTCTGCATTGTAAGCCCCCAATTTGTCGAGAGATCCTTTGTTTAACCTAGGATTCTTGTCCTCGCGCTTCTTATTTTCTTTGGAACTTCTCTTCCTTTTCCGCGGCGGCTCGGTTTTACCCTGTTTATCGTTGAAGGGATCCTCAGGTGTTGGAAGACTGAAGCACATACCCTGTGTAAAAACAAAGTATTCTTAAGCTAAAGAATAACTACACAGTTTTTGTTATAGTAAGATCTATAAGGATATGAATGTGCATCCATCAAATCAATATTGATTTCTCTCAGAATTATTTCTAATAACAGAACATAAGGATAGAAATTTATCCGGCCATGAACAAAGAAAATAGCAATATTAACGGGAAGAATCTGAAAAGGGACCTGACACATGCGGCGTTTGCCGGTATGGCGGCGCTTCTTGGCGGCGATAATGGCAGCAACCCGAGCTGATACTTTCGAAGAAGGATCCACTTTGTTTTCGTGCTTTCTCTTGATCTTCTTGCTCCGCCGTCTGCTTATCGAGTCATCGCTTCTTCCCATATTCTCTAGCGTTGGCGGCGGCGGTAACTGGTTCTGGTGGGGGGTTTTGGGGCAATTGTGAATTTACTGCTTCAAATTATGAATACTAAACTAGTCTATACTCTTGTCGTTTTTCGAAGTTTGCATAGTTATTAAAAATATTTTTGTTGCTAATAATAATCCTGAGGATAGAGATAAATATTTTAAGGGGTCATTTACTTTGCAGGATAGGGACAGGATAAGACAATTATCCTACATTTACATTGCAGGATAGGGATGAGATTTTAATGACCTGGCGCCCATGTGGCAGCCGCTC